AGCCATATTATGATGGTATGAAAATACCTGGTATAAATAGTAAATATACTGTAGCTACATGAGAAATGCATTCACTACTTTTCCCATTCTATTAAAGCTAATTGTTAGAGGAACAGGCGAATTTTTGTAAATGTATACACGTAAAGTGCATTAAAAGGATTTACACTATTGGAATGTACAATATTATAATTTTAGGATTTGAAAATTAAAAAGTAAACAGTAATACGTCGAGCATCTATAGAAGTAGATGAGAGTATCTACTATTTTTTTATTATAATATAAACATTAAACATTTAATTGGTTCGAAATCAAAAAATGTTTTAAATGGCCTATACATACATATGTACAAATACTGGGCTTATCACTTGGTAAAATATTTTCAAAAAGGAATTTAAACAGATAAAAGAAGCACTTGGTTTGCTTAAGCCTAATGGTTCTTACCTTTTTAAATTCCTTTTTTTCCTCTATACAGATCTACCATTTTTTTTTATATTTATATTTACTATTCTACCCTACAAAAAATTGTAGACACGGTAACAGCGAAGTAACATTTACATATAATACGTAAAACAATAAGTTGTGTAATAAGTAATGTAAGGTAAATGTAGCGCTTACACGTTATAAATACAGGACAAATTCCTAACTATTTATCGTTATTTAAATATTGAAACGCAATAGTCAAAAAAGCACAACAAGGTCCACAGTTTGGGTAACTGTGACGCTTAATTAGTACAAACATTTTCACTTACTTAATTAATAGTCAATTGCATAGCATATACTTCAGCACATTTTAGAAATGTGCTTTCTCAATAAATTACTAAGCTAAACAAAAAATGCACAGTATTACTGACATTTATAAAAGTTGATCTGCAATAGTTTCACGGAAATGAATCTAACTACTGTTTGAATAAAAATTACATGATCGTATTTTTACCACTTATAATCTTGGAATCCACTGAATCTAACGAATTTATTGAATAAACACGTAATTAGTACTAGTTTTGCTATACTTTACTGCATTACTTGTGTATTAAATAAATAATTCCTAATAAACATTACGCGTATCAGTTTGAAGAATGTAGATTATCTTTCTATTTCATATTTAGAAAAGGTACTTTGAAAGAACACCTCTATGCGATATATAGAAGGTCAGACAACAATTTTTAATAACAATATATAAGTTAAATTCTTGTTGCAAGCTATTATTAGACTTTATTAAAATCGTTGAATATGCTAATCTCATTCATATTCAGTCTTTGCCCTACATTTTCCATTACAATTGTTTGAGAATGTTTTACAATATCGTTTTATTAAATTGGCACAAGTTGAAATCAGCCACTAAACAAATGAAATTAAAATGAAAATGCCGAAATATTTTGTAGTAAATGCATCATTCGCCGAGATGAAATTGTTGAACAGGTCACCAAATACGGCAACTACTTCTTGTTACGTATTTTTCAAACAGTTCTTTATTATAAATAAAGGACTGGACATTTTCAATATCTAAAACTATACATATAAAATCGTTCAGCGTAACACTAGATCACAATATTGTATCTAAAGTGTCTAAAGATTTAAGGAAGTGTTCATCCCTTGAACACCATTCCATTAATTCTTCTATTGTGACGACGCCGTCTTTATTTGTATCAATTTGCTGAAACCAAATAAAACTGTAGAAACTACAGGGTGTCTCGCATCGCATTCATTACAAATCATGTTTTACTGTGGTACAAGATTTTCCTAACTGTTCCTATATATATATGTTTATTTGAACTGCATCACATTGTGCAAACATTATCTCATTAAGAATGCAAGTTTTTATACCATTTCTGAACAAAAATAGCCGTGACATTGACAAGGTTAACCGAATCTGTCGAATGTTATTCGTTAATGTTCGCGATTGTAAGCAGTTTAGTTGTTCTTTACCGGCGTTCCGATGTTCGTGGCAAATAATCCGGGAGAAATTAATTAACAGTAATAAATTTCAGCGGTTTGAACGGGACATTTTTACGGTAATTAAATGTTCGGTGTGTACTTTTTAACTTTTAGGAAATAAACGCCTATGTAGCGGTGTGTTTTTAGTGAAGTGTGTAAGACTTTAACAAATGAATCAACTTGGAATCTACAAAATGGTGAGTTTGATGATAAGATTTTAGAAGTAGAAGTACAGAACAATTAATACATTAACGAACGCTCGTGAAATTATAATGAGATGGAAGATACCTATTAGGCTTTGAGAACTGATAACTATGTAAAATAGTACATAGAATCTCATGGTACCAACAGTTTTTGAATGCGGTGACTACTAAGTACCTTCCCGTGTTGTCCATGCTAAAATTTATGTAATAATGTAAACGTAAAAAAGCGCTCGTTAAATTATTAGGAGATGGAAGACGTTTAGTAAGCTTCGACAAGTGATAATTATGTAAAATAGTAGGTAGAATCTCGTGGTGCTAACGGTTTTTTAGTGCGGTGCCAAATAGGTACTTATCGGCATTATTTTTGCTAACACATGTAGAATAATTGAAACATCAAAAAGCGCTCGTAAAAATTATTACGAGATGGAACGCATTTAGTAAGCTTCGAGAACTGAAAATTATGTAAAATAGTACGTAGAATCTCAAGGTGCTAAAGGTTTTTTAGTGCGGCGTCAAATAGGTACTTATCGGCATTATTTTTGCTAACACATGTAGAATAATTGAAACATCAAAAAGCGCTCGTAAAATTATTATCAGATAGAAGGCATTTAGTAAGCTTCGACAAGTGATAATTATGTAAAATAGTACGTAGAATCTCGTGGTGCTAACAGTTTTTTAGTTTGGTGTCAAATAGGTGCTTATCGGCATTATTTTTGCTAAAACATGTAGAATAATTGAAACATCAAAAAGCGCTCGTAAAATTATTATGAGATGAAAGGCATTTAGTAAGCTTCGATAAGTGATAATTATGTAAAATAGTAAGTAGAATCTCGTGGTGCTAACGGTTTTTTAGTGCGGTGTCAAATAGGTACTTTTCGGCATTATTTTTGCTAACACATGTTGAATAATTGAAACATCAAAATGCGCTCGTGAAATAATTATGATTTAGAAGGTTTTTACTAAGCTTTGAAAACTGATAATTATGCAGAAAAGTACGTAGAATCTCATAGTGCTAACGGTTTTTGAGTGTGATGTATTCTGGAATTATTTTTGCTAGAAAAGATTACTTATTTCAGGCCCTTCCCTTTACCTTTGCCCTTTCTCGTCGCCCACGGGTTGAATCCCCTTCATCAGACTTTACTAATAAGATTTGTCAGGTCACCATAGTATGTAAATGTGATAATTTATTAAATATGTACTTACGTGAAATATTTTTTCGACGTGGTCCTTCGCTGTGCTATCGTCCACAAGTGGATTTGTAGCCCTTCCTAACATTTCATAAATACTAGAAACGACGTCTATCATTTCCGCTTTCGAGATGAGACCGTCACCGTTAAGATCATAAAGGCCAAATATCCACTGCATCTTTTCCTGAACACTACCTCGTGAAACTTTTGATAATATTCCAAGAAAATCCTTTAAAACACAATGTCGATTTAGTGCACCAACTTTATCTAAATTAACAGCGAATTAGATTTCTTGAGAATCCTTTAAAACCATTATCTCTAGCAGTAAATATTGTGATGATGTGAAAAGAAGAGATTTACGATATACAGAGTGATTTATAATTTTACCTAGATATTGAACTGTAAATTTCTCACGATCCGTCGGATTTAGGGACAGCTATACAAAGTACTTTTCCGAATAATTGCAAAAATTTAATTTTGTTCTTCAGGTTCAGATTCAGTACCCTGCGTCTCTTCGCCCATTAATATTTTACTGACAATAAATTTAATATGACAATGGTTTAATTTTTTGTATTCCTAGAATCTACAGTTATCCCATGTCCCATTTTTTGAGGGTAGTCCTGTACACTTTGCGGCATTAAATTAATTATTGTATTTCTGATTGTAATTAATCATCACGTTGAATATCTGCAACGAGATTTAGTCATTGCACCTTTAGTAAGTAACGGTTTAATCGCTATTTGTAAAATGATAATGAATTATGTCGTAACTATAATGCGCCATTTGCTGTTGACGGGGTAGTCGGGGGCGGTTCAGGGCTTATTATTAATGAAGTAAATTATATGAGACGTGTTGATTATAACGATTGCGACTGGGTTAGTGAAAATGCACTCATTATTATAATTTATGCGATAAAGGAGAAATTCGTTACTGCATCAGTGCGGGTTTGCGCTGGACATTATTTATTTTGGAACCCTAACTCGTGATTCCTTTGATTCTAAACACGTGTTACCCAAACGAACCACCCCCTGGCGCCGCTGCTAGAATTGTAAACGAAAGGAGATCGACAAATTGTCAGGACGTTTCAGGACTCTAAATGGGTTCGAATCCTTGGTCCCTCTGTTGTATAAATTCTAATAAAGGTTTTCGTAAAAATAATCTAAATATCGCTACACAAATTTAGGGTTATTGCTACATTAAAAATATTTTTTTTGCTAAAAATGTTTCGAAGAAAAAGAAACTCAAAAATTTGCAGACCGATTTGCAGCTTCAATTAAAAAATAAAGCAAAAGCTTTTGAAACTTGAAACAGAATTGTATTAAACTGTCATATTCAGTTAAAGATTGTTATATTTTTCGTGTTCATTAGTTCTACAAGGCCAATTTTATTGTGTATTTGAGTAGATTGCACAAGATTTACGAGATATTGCTTTGTTTTGCTTTTCATATTCCTGAGGGTTCGAAAGCAGAGGGTTTTTATAATTTAGTTACCAGGTACGTACTGTACAATCTAAACCGTATCCGGATTTTACGTGTTACATTACAGTTCCTGAAAGCTTTTAGCAACAGGTTTTCAGACCTTAAACAGATCAGAAAGCTATTTACATTGTTGGCTTGAAACTTTGTAATGTATTTTCGTTATTATGCCCTTAGTCTATACCTTGCATAACGACATAAGTATTTTCTGATACTTTTTTGATTAATTTTTTTATTATTCAAGCCGACCTTTATCGCTTGCTTACTTATTACTATTTACTTACCTCAAAACTAATTTTTCCAGTTTGTTTTTGTTTAATAGTGTTGAATACATAATGGGCATAGTTTGTAGCATCTGGAATACAAAATCATGACAATTATTCAAAAAAAGTTGATGTTGGTGCAGGAACAGAGAGAAAATTTATTACTAAAATAATAATAACGTTAGTGTTTTTTGTTTCTACAATAAAACTTTTGAGATCGTTAAGATATTTTTTACATTTTGGTGTTGTCTTCGAATATAGAGCACAAACTTTTGATGAGACATTTGTTATTAAATATTTGTCGACACCGTTTCGCAAATAATAAATTTCGTTCAAGTTTCTTGTTTTTACACTCCACTTGGTGGTTCATACGACCGTACAGAAAAGCACAAGCTCATAAAAAGCTTCTGTAACGATCCCGTGTTCTCCTATTTTGGAGCAAAATTGATTAATTACAAAATCTGACGTTTCAACCGAAATTAATTTAATTCAAGTTCCTCATATTAATATCACAGTAAAAGAAAAAACAGTTTTGGAACTAATTACACAATAAAAACGTTTACCTCCTTGTGGAAAGAATTGAGAAAATATGTGTTTAAAAGCTTCTTCATCGACCATACCAGTTGGACATTCCTGAAAAAGTTTAAATATATGTAGTTCTCTAAAGGTAATAACAGATTCTAGTCTAGTTAGGAATATGCACAGTAGGTACATAACGGAGGTAGTCTTACAGCTATAAATTAAGTTCAAGGCTTGTTGGCAACATACTAGAAGCCTGTTGCTTCAGATTGATGAAGGTAGTTAGACTATTCTATTATGTAGAGTAGTATTTAGGGTACTAAGTGCAATTCTGGGTACTAAAACTTGTCTTTTTCAAAACATAAAAAATTTTCATAATTCACTGCATTCTACAAGGGTCATTCACTAAGCAATGAGACAAATGGCTAAAACGCAAAAATGGTTTATTGGATTCTTACAAAATTTGGTCTTATTTTCCACATAATCATCCCCTTTTCCCCATATTTCTTGTAGCTTCATAATTCCTTTGGCAAACAATTATTTGACGTTATTGGCAAATCTTTAAATGGCCTAAACAGGTAAAAATCAAACGGGGTAAGGTCTGGACTGTACGCGGGATGAGGTAAGACTGAAAGACTACTGATTTTGTCAAAGGTCCACGACGTTTGTTCCTGATAGCAGGTTTAATTTTGTGCAGAGTAGTAATTGCTATTGATAGTCCTCTGATCTTCAAGAGGGTTAAATCTTTAGTTTTAGCGAACGGGAAGGTTGGTGTGTTTCAACTTTATTCTTTCTCTTCCGGCTTGGTAATGATATTGCAATGTTCTAATGGACTTGCCATGATGACCTGAAGATTTTCGAGTTATTCAATAACGAGTTTTAAAATTGGATCATTTGTCACTTTACTTGTTGAATGGCTCTCGTATTTTAAGTAGCAGATAAAATATTTTTGTGTGAATGTTAAATTTATTTGTTTGTGAGATATGTATCTGTGTTTTTAAACCGTTGTTTTAACCGATAAACAACATACAAGCGTTGAAATTAAACAAAAGTTGAACTTTAATAAGTTACGGCTGTTCTGTTCCATTCGCTTTACCTGCTTAAATCCCCTATACATGAGCTGAATTTCTTTTCTAGTAAATTTAGTCCTTGAGGCTAACTTTTGCAATTCTTCTGGTCGGTACCGCGAAACATGAAAGCTATATTCGTCCTCATCCTCTGCAAAAGGAAGTTCGAGTTAGCTTCACACTTATTCTTTTCTTTGATAAACGCAAAAAATACTAAACATTTATTAATTTAGTTTATCTTCTCTGTAGTGCATGTTATATACGTGGGTGACTGTGTTCTTTACCACTTTGTTTTTAGTAGTTTGAGGGATAAGGGGTTAATGGAAAAGGGTTTTGATCTTGAACCATTTATATACTTTATCAGAGGTAGGTGGAGATTATTAAGCAGTGGTTGAGATCTGATGAATTTGAAAAGGCAAAGGCGAAACTTTTGCTACCGATACAGCAGCTGTACTGAACAAGATGAGAAAACAACCACATTTGTAACTTTTTGTACACCATTCCCTTGTAGCTTTGAGGTTGTGATCGCGTCCATTAATTTTCAGACTTCCTCCAAGTTGAATTTACGTTTTTATTTACCAATTTCTTAAGAAGAATATCATCGCAAAGATAAAGACAGGGTGACACCATTGTTACAAAGTTTTGAACTAAATCGAACTTATCGTCATTATCGTTGTCATCATCATGTTTTCGGTATCGTTTTCTGCCTATATACATATATACAATAGCTACCGTGTATATAAATCACATTTGGCTTAACAATACAAGCGATTTTAACAAGGGTCACTTAAAATATAGTTAGATGGGTTTATATTGGTTTTGCTATCGTTAAAATTAACGCAAATTTAGCCACAGGCAATGTATTTGAGTATTTATACGTATATAAGTACATGTCGTGTACCATTGATGGTGTAATTAAATTGCAAATTAAATGTAAACAAAAGGGAGGACCGAATTTATTTATTATTGTTGTCGTGATGCAGTCTTCTAAATACATAAAATTCCAAATTTAACTATTTTTTTCAAAGATTTCATTTTCAGATGGATCGTCGTTTGTAATTGTCTTCTATCTTGGGATTTCCCGAAAGTACGACGGTGATTACATTAAATAAGATTAGATTATAGGTTCGGCAAGTCTTAGTAGAAAGGTCCTTAAATATTTTAAAAACCCAAAATAATGCAAAAGCATCATATCATAATGGAAATCCTTCAAAATGATTATAAATTTTATGTTGTTGATGATGATCGAATACAGTAATTGTATCTGTGTGATTTAGAAAAAAAGAATTGTTAAATTGATGAGAGAGATGTGTAGGAATCCCCATAACAAATATCTGCAATATTGCTTCGAGATTTGAACGAAATGGTTATCAGTTTGGAGGCATGGTTTTGGTTTAAACGCGGGAAATTTATCACCACCGCTCAACCGTTAAGTTAACACTATGCTTGTTTTATTGACTGCATATGCAATTCAGACTGCAACTTATTCCTATAAATTCAGGTTGCCGTATGGTTGACTGAACGGGAATTTTGTTCCTTTACGTTCAATCTCATTTTCTTATGGTTGCTTGTTTCAGGCTATTCTAATGTAATATATCGGGTTGTTCGGAAAGTCATTTCGTTTTTTCCCGACAGAGGATTTAATTGTATTCTTTTGCACCCAACTTCACATTTAAGCCGTATAATTTTTATATGCTTTGAGAGCTCATATAGCAAGGCTTGTGTNTTGCAGATCTATTTACAAACAATTCCTTTAAATTTAATTTTTCAAACATTTTTTAACCCATTCGAACTAATGGTGCTGTCCGTTTCGAGCTCACAGTGATAGGGGGGATGAACTTGTCTAAATAAGATATCTTATAAATATTAAAATGTTGAAATCACGCGTTTTTGTTCGGCCAATCGGGTGGATTGTGCATAAAATTTAAAACGTTTGTAAAGCTTTTTAATGGTATTTAGTAGGAAAGCCCAGTGCCGATTCATGCGAAGCTTGTGCAATGCAGATTGCTTAATTGAACCATTCCCATTGGCGTAATTTGAAAGCTGCTGTACAGTACCTCGGCTCCCCTGGTTCCTGCGAAATTCATTTTCTAATCAAATCACTTTATCAAAACTTCCGATTTTCTTCCATCATACCACCTATACCTACATATTAACGGTTTTAATTAAAACTCAAACAAGCGTTAATTGCCAATGCTTCTCCCTTATGCTCTGTCAAAGAAATATTAGATTTGTATGAATAATTATGATACCAATGTATGCTTCTGTTTTATCTTTTATGTCTTAAACGCATTGCGTTAATAAGGGGCTGATTGCTGTTATATATAGAGTGCATTGAGGTATACTAAAACCGCGAACGAAGGTGTGAATAACGTCATTAATTCGATTAATTGCAATCAGCTGAATTGTTGCCGTATCACAATTGCTAAACATTAGAAGCAATCAACAGCCTTCGGTCTAATTAATTATTGTTTTAACAATAGCGATTCATAAAATTTAATTGGCTGTGTGGTGGTTCTCCCTTTTGAATAAATTTCAGCTTACTGCTCTGGAATGGTTTAGATTTAAAAAAGGAAAAAGTTGTGGGTGAGAATTTATAACGGTCCGGTTCTGTAATATTGTTGCTTCGTTAGTTTCGACGGTCAAATCGCTAATTAAGAAACTGCTTGTGAAACCGAGTATCCACACACATACACATAAGGAGAAATTACATGCCTCGGCCATTTCATAAATGACATAATTCGTAGGATAAATTTGCATTCCGTCGCGAACCTCCGGGAATACGGCCCATTTCGGGAGCGCTCTCCTTGTTTGTTGGAAGCTGCAATCTTAAATAAATTTCAAGTCCACATGGTATCCACAGCTACAACCTTCTAATAATTCCCTCCAGCTTTATTACAACGAACGTAGCCGTTTGCCTTTGGCTAGCAATTACATTCATTGCCAGGATTGTACTTAGCTACAACTTGCACCCTTTGTCTTTGATCTGAAAATTCTACCAATCTTTTCTGCTACTTATCTTTCCCAAAGGTATTATTAAAGACCTGATAACTCGTAATTATTTTAATTTCTTGCTAATCTAAAAGCTTAACAGCAACTTTAATTCATTTATATATATGTATACGTATGTCCTACACCAATGAATTAATCAATTGAAGTATCTTTTCTAAATATATGAAAATTAGGAAAGATAAAATTAATAAATTAGTACAACCATTAGAGATAGGTTGGTAGGACACCTTGTTAGGCATGAAGGTCTAGTCAGAGACATATTAGAGGCAGAAACAGGAGTTAGGAGGGGTAGAGGTAAACCTAGATTAGATTACTCTTCGCAAATAGTTAAGGATGTGGGCTGTTCTAGTTTNTAAAGGTTTTTTAGTGCGGCGTCAAATAGGTACTTATCGGCATTATTTTTGCTAACACATGTAGAATAATTGAAACATCAAAAAGCGCTCGTAAAAATTATTACGAGATGGAACGCATTTAGTAAGCTTCGAGAACTGAAAATTATGTAAAATAGTACGTAGAATCTCAAGGTGCTAAAGGTTTTTTAGTGCGGCGTCAAATAGGTACTTATCGGCATTATTTTTGCTAACACATGTAGAATAATTGAAACATCAAAAAGCGCTCGTAAAATTATTATCAGATAGAAGGCATTTAGTAAGCTTCGACAAGTGATAATTATGTAAAATAGTACGTAGAATCTCGTGGTGCTAACAGTTTTTTAGTTTGGTGTCAAATAGGTGCTTATCGGCATTATTTTTGCTAAAACATGTAGAATAATTGAAACATCAAAAAGCGCTCGTAAAATTATTATGAGATGAAAGGCATTTAGTAAGCTTCGATAAGTGATAATTATGTAAAATAGTAAGTAGAATCTCGTGGTGCTAACGGTTTTTTAGTGCGGTGTCAAATAGGTACTTTTCGGCATTATTTTTGCTAACACATGTTGAATAATTGAAACATCAAAATGCGCTCGTGAAATAATTATGATTTAGAAGGTTTTTACTAAGCTTTGAAAACTGATAATTATGCAGAAAAGTACGTAGAATCTCATAGTGCTAACGGTTTTTGAGTGTGATGTATTCTGGAATTATTTTTGCTAGAAAAGATTACTTATTTCAGGCCCTTCCCTTTACCTTTGCCCTTTCTCGTCGCCCACGGGTTGAATCCCCTTCATCAGACTTTACTAATAAGATTTGTCAGGTCACCATAGTATGTAAATGTGATAATTTATTAAATATGTACTTACGTGAAATATTTTTTCGACGTGGTCCTTCGCTGTGCTATCGTCCACAAGTGGATTTGTAGCCCTTCCTAACATTTCATAAATACTAGAAACGACGTCTATCATTTCCGCTTTCGAGATGAGACCGTCACCGTTAAGATCATAAAGGCCAAATATCCACTGCATCTTTTCCTGAACACTACCTCGTGAAACTTTTGATAATATTCCAAGAAAATCCTTTAAAACACAATGTCGATTTAGTGCACCAACTTTATCTAAATTAACAGCGAATTAGATTTCTTGAGAATCCTTTAAAACCATTATCTCTAGCAGTAAATATTGTGATGATGTGAAAAGAAGAGATTTACGATATACAGAGTGATTTATAATTTTACCTAGATATTGAACTGTAAATTTCTCACGATCCGTCGGATTTAGGGACAGCTATACAAAGTACTTTTCCGAATAATTGCAAAAATTTAATTTTGTTCTTCAGGTTCAGATTCAGTACCCTGCGTCTCTTCGCCCATTAATATTTTACTGACAATAAATTTAATATGACAATGGTTTAATTTTTTGTATTCCTAGAATCTACAGTTATCCCATGTCCCATTTTTTGAGGGTAGTCCTGTACACTTTGCGGCATTAAATTAATTATTGTATTTCTGATTGTAATTAATCATCACGTTGAATATCTGCAACGAGATTTAGTCATTGCACCTTTAGTAAGTAACGGTTTAATCGCTATTTGTAAAATGATAATGAATTATGTCGTAACTATAATGCGCCATTTGCTGTTGACGGGGTAGTCGGGGGCGGTTCAGGGCTTATTATTAATGAAGTAAATTATATGAGACGTGTTGATTATAACGATTGCGACTGGGTTAGTGAAAATGCACTCATTATTATAATTTATGCGATAAAGGAGAAATTCGTTACTGCATCAGTGCGGGTTTGCGCTGGACATTATTTATTTTGGAACCCTAACTCGTGATTCCTTTGATTCTAAACACGTGTTACCCAAACGAACCACCCCCTGGCGCCGCTGCTAGAATTGTAAACGAAAGGAGATCGACAAATTGTCAGGACGTTTCAGGACTCTAAATGGGTTCGAATCCTTGGTCCCTCTGTTGTATAAATTCTAATAAAGGTTTTCGTAAAAATAATCTAAATATCGCTACACAAATTTAGGGTTATTGCTACATTAAAAATATTTTTTTTGCTAAAAATGTTTCGAAGAAAAAGAAACTCAAAAATTTGCAGACCGATTTGCAGCTTCAATTAAAAAATAAAGCAAAAGCTTTTGAAACTTGAAACAGAATTGTATTAAACTGTCATATTCAGTTAAAGATTGTTATATTTTTCGTGTTCATTAGTTCTACAAGGCCAATTTTATTGTGTATTTGAGTAGATTGCACAAGATTTACGAGATATTGCTTTGTTTTGCTTTTCATATTCCTGAGGGTTCGAAAGCAGAGGGTTTTTATAATTTAGTTACCAGGTACGTACTGTACAATCTAAACCGTATCCGGATTTTACGTGTTACATTACAGTTCCTGAAAGCTTTTAGCAACAGGTTTTCAGACCTTAAACAGATCAGAAAGCTATTTACATTGTTGGCTTGAAACTTTGTAATGTATTTTCGTTATTATGCCCTTAGTCTATACCTTGCATAACGACATAAGTATTTTCTGATACTTTTTTGATTAATTTTTTTATTATTCAAGCCGACCTTTATCGCTTGCTTACTTATTACTATTTACTTACCTCAAAACTAATTTTTCCAGTTTGTTTTTGTTTAATAGTGTTGAATACATAATGGGCATAGTTTGTAGCATCTGGAATACAAAATCATGACAATTATTCAAAAAAAGTTGATGTTGGTGCAGGAACAGAGAGAAAATTTATTACTAAAATAATAATAACGTTAGTGTTTTTTGTTTCTACAATAAAACTTTTGAGATCGTTAAGATATTTTTTACATTTTGGTGTTGTCTTCGAATATAGAGCACAAACTTTTGATGAGACATTTGTTATTAAATATTTGTCGACACCGTTTCGCAAATAATAAATTTCGTTCAAGTTTCTTGTTTTTACACTCCACTTGGTGGTTCATACGACCGTACAGAAAAGCACAAGCTCATAAAAAGCTTCTGTAACGATCCCGTGTTCTCCTATTTTGGAGCAAAATTGATTAATTACAAAATCTGACGTTTCAACCGAAATTAATTTAATTCAAGTTCCTCATATTAATATCACAGTAAAAGAAAAAACAGTTTTGGAACTAATTACACAATAAAAACGTTTACCTCCTTGTGGAAAGAATTGAGAAAATATGTGTTTAAAAGCTTCTTCATCGACCATACCAGTTGGACATTCCTGAAAAAGTTTAAATATATGTAGTTCTCTAAAGGTAATAACAGATTCTAGTCTAGTTAGGAATATGCACAGTAGGTACATAACGGAGGTAGTCTTACAGCTATAAATTAAGTTCAAGGCTTGTTGGCAACATACTAGAAGCCTGTTGCTTCAGATTGATGAAGGTAGTTAGACTATTCTATTATGTAGAGTAGTATTTAGGGTACTAAGTGCAATTCTGGGTACTAAAACTTGTCTTTTTCAAAACATAAAAAATTTTCATAATTCACTGCATTCTACAAGGGTCATTCACTAAGCAATGAGACAAATGGCTAAAACGCAAAAATGGTTTATTGGATTCTTACAAAATTTGGTCTTATTTTCCACATAATCATCCCCTTTTCCCCATATTTCTTGTAGCTTCATAATTCCTTTGGCAAACAATTATTTGACGTTATTGGCAAATCTTTAAATGGCCTAAACAGGTAAAAATCAAACGGGGTAAGGTCTGGACTGTACGCGGGATGAGGTAAGACTGAAAGACTACTGATTTTGTCAAAGGTCCACGACGTTTGTTCCTGATAGCAGGTTTAATTTTGTGCAGAGTAGTAATTGCTATTGATAGTCCTCTGATCTTCAAGAGGGTTAAATCTTTAGTTTTAGCGAACGGGAAGGTTGGTGTGTTTCAACTTTATTCTTTCTCTTCCGGCTTGGTAATGATATTGCAATGTTCTAATGGACTTGCCATGATGACCTGAAGATTTTCGAGTTATTCAATAACGAGTTTTAAAATTGGATCATTTGTCACTTTACTTGTTGAATGGCTCTCGTATTTTAAGTAGCAGATAAAATATTTTTGTGTGAATGTTAAATTTATTTGTTTGTGAGATATGTATCTGTGTTTTTAAACCGTTGTTTTAACCGATAAACAACATACAAGCGTTGAAATTAAACAAAAGTTGAACTTTAATAAGTTACGGCTGTTCTGTTCCATTCGCTTTACCTGCTTAAATCCCCTATACATGAGCTGAATTTCTTTTCTAGTAAATTTAGTCCTTGAGGCTAACTTTTGCAATTCTTCTGGTCGGTACCGCGAAACATGAAAGCTATATTCGTCCTCATCCTCTGCAAAAGGAAGTTCGAGTTAGCTTCACACTTATTCTTTTCTTTGATAAACGCAAAAAATACTAAACATTTATTAATTTAGTTTATCTTCTCTGTAGTGCATGTTATATACGTGGGTGACTGTGTTCTTTACCACTTTGTTTTTAGTAGTTTGAGGGATAAGGGGTTAATGGAAAAGGGTTTTGATCTTGAACCATTTATATACTTTATCAGAGGTAGGTGGAGATTATTAAGCAGTGGTTGAGATCTGATGAATTTGAAAAGGCAAAGGCGAAACTTTTGCTACCGATACAGCAGCTGTACTGAACAAGATGAGAAAACAACCACATTTGTAACTTTTTGTACACCATTCCCTTGTAGCTTTGAGGTTGTGATCGCGTCCATTAATTTTCAGACTTCCTCCAAGTTGAATTTACGTTTTTATTTACCAATTTCTTAAGAAGAATATCATCGCAAAGATAAAGACAGGGTGACACCATTGTTACAAAGTTTTGAACTAAATCGAACTTATCGTCATTATCGTTGTCATCATCATGTTTTCGGTATCGTTTTCTGCCTATATACATATATACAATAGCTACCGTGTATATAAATCACATTTGGCTTAACAATACAAGCGATTTTAACAAGGGTCACTTAAAATATAGTTAGATGGGTTTATATTGGTTTTGCTATCGTTAAAATTAACGCAAATTTAGCCACAGGCAATGTATTTGAGTATTTATACGTATATAAGTACATGTCGTGTACCATTGATGGTGTAATTAAATTGCAAATTAAATGTAAACAAAAGGGAGGACCGAATTTATTTATTATTGTTGTCGTGATGCAGTCTTCTAAATACATAAAATTCCAAATTTAACTATTTTTTTCAAAGATTTCATTTTCAGATGGATCGTCGTTTGTAATTGTCTTCTATCTTGGGATTTCCCGAAAGTACGACGGTGATTACATTAAATAAGATTAGATTATAGGTTCGGCAAGTCTTAGTAGAAAGGTCCTTAAATATTTTAAAAACCCAAAATAATGCAAAAGCATCATATCATAATGGAAATCCTTCAAAATGATTATAAATTTTATGTTGTTGATGATGATCGAATACAGTAATTGTATCTGTGTGATTTAGAAAAAAAGAATTGTTAAATTGATGAGAGAGATGTGTAGGAATCCCCATAACAAATATCTGCAATATTGCTTCGAGATTTGAACGAAATGGTTATCAGTTTGGAGGCATGGTTTTGGTTTAAACGCGGGAAATTTATCACCACCGCTCAACCGTTAAGTTAACACTATGCTTGTTTTATTGACTGCATATGCAATTCAGACTGCAACTTATTCCTATAAATTCAGGTTGCCGTATGGTTGACTGAACGGGAATTTTGTTCCTTTACGTTCAATCTCATTTTCTTATGGTTGCTTGTTTCAGGCTATTCTAATGTAATATATCGGGTTGTTCGGAAAGTCATTTCGTTTTTTCCCGACAGAGGATTTAATTGTATTCTTTTGCACCCAACTTCACATTTAAGCCGTATAATTTTTATATGCTTTGAGAGCTCATATAGCAAGGCTTGTGTGTGAAAAATTCCAATTAATTCTACGCAGTAGTTTTTGGTTGGTGCCCTT